ATAATAACTATACTATATAATGTTACACATGGTCTTATTATTAAAACAAAAAATTTCTTCTTACCTTAGTTGTTAAATTAACACACTGTTCATCATTTAAAACACTTGTTACATTATCTGGAATTTTTGTATGTCCTATACATGTATTCACCGCTTTAATAGCTTCTTCAAAATTTTCCTCACTATTCTTTGTATCATTTTCATCCCTTCTCATTCCTCCNATAATAACTATACTATATAATGTTACACATGGTCTTATTATTAAAACAAAAAATTTCTTCTTACCTTAGTTGTTAAATTAACACACTGTTCATCATTTAAAACACTTGTTACATTATCTGGAATTTTTGTATGTCCTATACATGTATTCACCGCTTTAATAGCTTCTTCAAAATTTTCCTCACTATTCTTTGTATCATTTTCATCCCTTCTCATTCCTCCTTTTATCATTTCTTTTAATTGTTGTTTTTCTTTATATGTTTTGGGTAATTCTCCTTTTTCGTTAATCCACTTCTCTAAAAATTTATATAATATAACTAAGTATGGTACATGAGAATGATCTTTGAAACTCATCTCATCAAGGTTTACTGAGTCCAAATGCTTTTTTAATGTTTCAAAGGGCTTATCTAGACGTAAATCTGGTGTTTCATTATCTGGATGCGTTTCTATAATTGTATGATCTTTGACTTGAATTCTTAAGTATGCAATAAAACCTATGCTTCTGCATACTATTAATGGTATATTCAGTTTCCAAAGCCTCTGTGATAAAAGAATTAAGGACCTAAAAATTTATTTTGTTTTACATATTTCATTTACATTAATAGTAGTTATAATTCACTTGTAATATCAGCCTTACTTTTCAGTAAGTGATGTAGCTACAACAACCGTAAAATTGTTGAAAAAGTCAGGACTATTATACAAAATTTGTTCAGGTTCTTCATCTATATAATCACCTCTAACATCTGAATTTAATTCTAATAGCATTTGCATTGCTACTTGTGCCCTAGATTTTCCAACGCTATCTGCTTCTAGAAAAAAACTATTCAAATTGATTTAAAAACTAAACTTAGTACTACCATAGCAATTTCATGTTTCAAAATTATGATAAAGAACATAATGATATACATACTTTGCTCCAATGTCTTCATTAATAATCTTTTTTCCATCGACAATAGTAAATGCTCCAATACCTGGGAGGACTAAAGATTTCAAAATCTCTGTACCAAGTCCTGTAGCATTTATGAGACAAACATGAGCACTTTCTAATGCAGCTTGTCCATGATCACCCCATAATCTATATACATAGATAGTAATTATTTTTTTAATAAGAGTAGAATTATATCTAACAAAACTTGTAGAATACAGAATTCATTAATACACAGAGAAGTTTAATTACTATTAAATTACGCAATAATTTGAATTCATAAATAAGAAAAATGCATTTCCTAACCCCAAAAAATTGTGGGCTAATTATTTACCTTAATTGTCTGTCATATTTTCTATTCTTTTCAGATTGTTCAGGCGATTTTGGTGCTGGTGATGCCATATGGACTGATAAGTGGTGACAGGTCAATAATAACACTTCACGTTCAGGAATACTATGTAACACACTTACGATCGGTGATACATATCAATCACACTTGTCAAATATATACTTATAAGAAACGCTACAAATACATTGTGTATTTTGATAAATACACAAAAATTCAAACAGTCCATATAAATTGCAAAAGTATTATTTTAATTTAAAATTTGTTTATTGTATTCTTTATGCTAAGCAAATAAATATTAATTATTTTTGCAGTTACGGTTATTTTTGCAAAACAATTTTGCTTCATTTATAATTCACCAGTTTTTTATCATATAATATAAAACGTTCATTTATGTATGAATCTTCTTTTAGGCGATGATTGTACAAGTCAAGGAAAGATCAAAATTAAGAGTAAAGGCGGGTGTCCATCTGGGAGTTGCACTAGCGAGTGCTTACAAGTTGTGCATCCATTCGAGAGCAGTTTCAAGAGTTTTTTCCCTCCAAGAGCTACGAAAATTGTCGCCACAGATAACAATCGGGAAGAACTCTCAGAACCGTGTACACATTGGTTCCGAACTAGGAAATGCCGGTGAGCGATACACACTGATGTGCGTAGATTTTGATGAAACTTGTTTAAAAAAAACTGTTTAAAAAATCATTTTTCCATTTACATGAAAATATGTAAATATTTCGAAAAATATGAGTGATAAATGTTTTGAAACAAATGTTGTAGTGTAGGATATCGATGATCAGATTTATGTATGCATATGCTATTCAACAAAACTATTTGTTTCTATTTTTTATTATTTCTCGGCATCATTTTTCGTTTCTTTAGTTTTATCGTATAATAATATTCTTCAGTGCGGTAAATACTTTACTAGAAGTTTATAAAATCAACTAAAATACAAATTTTAGCGCTAATTATTAGTTTTTTTTTATTTATAATAAAGGTTCTTTGAATTCTACCAAATGTCTTTTTTCAATTAAAATCCGACATAAATATGAACACTAAAGTAAAAAGAAAATGTGACCATTTCTCTGCAATATAGGGATGTCCTACGTGTATCCGCACTCTCCCCTGACTAGTCCACAGTGAGAGATTTGTCTGCAGTTTTAAAAATATTTTAACGACTGTAGCTCGACTCTGGGTTAACCGATTTCGATCAAATTTTCAGCATGCATGTAAGTTGCCGAGATCTATGAAAAACATTTTTTAAATTTTCGTTATAAGCTCAGATAAAAAAGTTAAAAAACGAGGGTTTTTATTTTTTTATTTTCATTCAAGTAATAGTAAAATTAAAAAAAAAAGCTTTTTAGTCATCGTGTAGTAAACTAGTATCTAAAAAAAAATAGTATCTAAAAACTATCATCTAAAAAAAAAATTCAAATCATTTAATTGAGATTTGAGAAAGTTATTGCGTTTTAAAAGGTGTACAAACACTTTTGCGGGCCACTGAATGAAATATACGATCTCAACATTACGTTCAAATTTCCCAAATTTCTCTCCTGTCGTCATTTATTTGGAGCATATAATTTTTTAGCGCTATCGTAATCGTAGGTAGTAGCTATCAATAGCTGCGTTCGTATCGATCATGTAACGAAGCAACGTAATGCTATTGTTTCGGGTCATAATTACGTTATTAATACATTTAAGAAAAAATGCCGAAGTAGAAAGATAAATGACTTAAAGAGCACTACGTTTGTAGTGCACTTTTTAAGTACATCAGTACATATGCAATTAACAATTGCATCATTTCTTTAAATGAAAATCATTTTTTATTGCACAGATCGATTCCTCTGTTCATTCTACGTAAAAAATTATTAGGGTGTCATTGCAAAAAAATTATTAGTTCTCAAGATATTTTCAAAAAATGTCTTTACTGAAGATGTTCGAACGTTTCTTCATTACATTGTAAACATTTTTTCGCCGACTTTCAAGACTGTGTCCATCTGCGAGACGTGCTCTTGAGAGCAACTCCTGTCAATTTTACTCTCAGATGGACACCCGCCTTATTGAAGCGCCGTTAGAAACTTCGATCTAAAGTCAGTAACAATTAAAAGTCAACCATTAGAGCACATATGAGGCACGCGGCGCGAAATTCAAATAATGAAATCTGTTGATTCTCAATCACATCGTCCAGCATATTCGTAAATGATGCTCAATGCACGTTCAGATGTATTTTGAACGCATGTATTTGTAGGATTACTTTTGCATCACTCTGAAAGCTAACACTAGAATTTCCCTCAATTTTGATACTATGAATGAATGATTCTTTCTGTACACATTCCTGTATAGAATTTCGTCCACGCATTCTTACAAATTGTAATATTCTCAATATACTTTTCACTACGCGTATACTTAACTAAGCAATATGTTAATTTTCAAACTTGATGAAACCACAAAAATTCCGTAAAATTTGGGTTTGTTTGAACAGAATTTTCAAGTGCACCTTCAGGTCAAGAATTTTTTAACACTTTTAACAATTGTACAGAGATACAACATTCCGTAAGATAAGTGGTCTATGTTATGTTTTGTTTAGAGTATGATACATA